AGAGCACGGCCAAGAGGCGCGCGGAGGTTCGCCTGGACACGGCCCCCGGGCTCGGCCCCTGGCACCCCCCAGACTGCCCCCGCCTCACCAGGAGCGGTCCCTGAGGGCAGAGCCAAGAGTAAGGCTGGCTGAGTCAAGCTCTGATGCCCACGTTTCCTGTGCTGCTTTTCTGGAATTCTGTGTGTGTGTGTGTGTGTGTGTGTGTGCATGTATATAGGTGTGCATGCATATTCTGTGTCTGCATGTATGTATGTGCACATGTGTGCAGCACGTGCGTGTGTGTGCAACGTGTGCATGTGTGGAAGCATGTACGCTCATGCGTGTGCGCGCACACGCGTGTTGGGAATCAGATCAGCCCCAGCGCCCTCTAGTGGCAGTGTCTGTGCTCTGTCCCTGAGCCGCCTCCCTGGCCTGATTCCCAGTTGTTCCTGAGAATATGCACACACGTTGTGGGGTTGGAGGGGCATTAACACCGGGAGGGTGTTTGCCTTCACACGCGGCTGACCCGAGTTCAGTCCCTGGCATCCCACATAGTGCCCCGAGCACAGAGCCAGGAATAACTAAGCCCTGAGTATCTCCAGGTGTGATGACGCACCCCCCTTCCTCAAATAAAGATCTTTGCCGCATTGGTAGTGGAGCATTGGAACGGGGCCACGTGGAGGCCTGAACTGTTGGCCGGGCTCTACTCTTAGGACACCTACCTGCCTGCCTCTCTCTGTCTCTCTCCTCTCTGTCTCTCTCCTCTCTCTCTGAATCTCCCTTCTTTCTTCCCCGTTCCTCTCTCTCCCTTCTTTCTGCCCCGTTCCCCCTCTCCCTCCCTTCCCTCTCCCCGCCCCATGAAGCCCACCCAGGCAATACTGTCCCGGCCTCACGAGTCCCACATCCCTGTGCTCAGCCCAGCAATGGCCACCCCTGGGCCCAGTGGTTCTGGGACACCCCCCCCCCCCCCGTCTCTCAGGTCCCAGGGACCAAACTCTGGGCCTCACACTTGGGTGCATGCTTGTGCCCTGTGCGCTGTCTCTCCATCCTAAAGCAGGATTTAATAACTCCCCGTTCAACACGGAATCTCCGGGCGTGGCCCCCACCGTTTAATTACAAAAGGGCAGCGAAGCTCTCTCTCCCCGCCGCCTGCGTTCCTTCGGCAGTCTCACGCCGCTTCCCCCACCTCAGGGAGATCGATGGTAAAAGGAGGACGAAGGATGGGACCAGGGCCAGGCTGGTTGGTCTCAGTTGCCGTTTATTCCGTTCCCATCTCCCTCCTCCTCTGGTTCTCCTCCTGCTTCTTCCTCCCCCATGCTACCTCACTCTCTTTCTCGCTCTGACTCCCCCTTTACCCTCCTGCTGGCTCTCGCTCCCCCAGCCCCCTCTGACAGTCCAGTTAAATCCCGAGCATGAGGGGTTGGGGTTTACACATGGGTGTGGTCACAATCAATAGGGGTAAAATCCTTCCCTCAGGAGAAGCTGCTTCTAGGACAGATTCTCAGCCAGCAGGACGACCCACCCAAGAGCGGAGAAATGGGTATGTTTCTCCTCTCCTTGTCCAACAAACATACAAACATTCATGATATTAATCATTTTGTATGGACACAGTAAGAGATACATGAAGCTTATAGAGTTGCTCTCCTGGGGTCATCTCGATCTCAGACTACAGTGCTCAGGCCAGGTTAGTCTTTCCTATCCCTAGCAGGGTCCTAATCTTGTTGTTACTTTTGGATCATGACAGCATTTGTCCATGACCATGCTCTCAACTTATAGTTGAGTATCGTGGCGCTTTGACCTGGCCCATTTCGTGCCAGGGTAGCTCACAGTCCCTCATCAGGACCCTGCTTTTGGGGTGCTAGGAACTAAGGGCAACTGAGGCTTAAGTGAAGGAAGAAGATGCCCAGAAGTACAGATTGTTTGGAGACAACTTACTCCCAAGTTACAGAAGCATGATATTAACTGTCTTGCTTTGTCCATACAAAAAGGACTTTGCTTTAAAGTAGCACTGTCCTCTCGTTGTTCATCAATTTGCTCCAGCAGACACCAGTAACATCTCCATTGTGAGACTTGTTGTAACTGATTTTTTTTTCTTTTCTTTTTGGGTCACCCAGCAACGCTCAGGGCTGACTCCTGGCTTTGCACTCAAGAATCACTCCTAGTGGTGCTCAGGGGACCATATGGGATACTGGGAATCGAACCCGGGTCGGCCGCATGCAAGGCAAACACCCTCCCCGCTGTGCTATTGCTCCAGCCCCATTGTAACTGTTTTTGGCATATCAAATATGCCACGGGAAGCTTGCTAGTCTCTGCCGTGTGTGCGGGTTACTCTTGGTAGCTTGCTGGGCTCTCCCAAAAGGACGGAGGAATTGAACCCAGGTCAACCACATGCAAGGCAAACGCCCTACCCGCTGTGCTATCGCTCCAGACGTGCTTTAAAGTAAACTATTCAAGGGACTGGAGCCATAGCACAGCGGGTAGGGAGTTTGCCTTGCATGCGGCCAACCCAGGTTCGATTCCCAGCACCCCATATGGTCCCCTGAGCACCGCCAGGAGTAATTCCTGAGTGCAGAGCCAGGAGTAACCCTTGTGCAATGCCGGGTGTGACCCAAAAAGCAAAAATAAATAAATAAATAAATAAATAAACTATTCAAAAGACATAAGGAGAGGAGAAAGGCAATTATTCACTCACATATAAATTCATAGATGTCTGAGGAATCTGACCTTTACAAGTTCACAGAGTCTGATTAGGGGAAAAAGCTGATTAGCTGGTTGGAGAAGAGAGCAGAGAGAAGTTATGGATAAGCAGAGAGCAATGGGAGCGACTCAAGAGCACTGTGATGGGTGTGACCCGATAAACCTAAACTCCACGTGGCAAGGGAGAAAGGACAAACCAACGTTATCCTACATCCCACAATCAAGGAAAAGTGTGTGGGGGGGTTCTGCAGGAATATTTCTGGGGCTTCGGACCTTCCATGCAAGCAAGACCAGGAAGCCAGTCCCGGGATCCATCCACACAGGCCGGGGCATGCTCCCCACGGTCCTGATGTCTGGGTCCCTGGACTCCAGCCCCAGCGGAGCCAGAGCCCAGCAAGGGATGTGAACCCCGGCAAGCCCCACTCCGCAGGAAGGGAGCCCCGGAGAGCATCGCGGGGGCACCTGGTGACCCCCAGTACGTGCCATGTGAGTAGCAGCCACCAAGCACAGCCCCAACACGCGGGTGGGTGAGCCCTGCCATCTGATGCATGGACCCCCGCAGAAACCTGGACTCACAGTGCTCTGTGGCCATGCCCACCTGGGCTGGCACTGCCACATCAACAGTCCCCAGGGCAGGAGGGGATGGAGATGAGCTGCTGATGTCCGCAGGTCCGAGGTGGACATTCATGAGAGGCTCGGTGGGCGGCTGGTTGCACAGGAAATACTTTGAGCTTTTTTTTTTTTTGGCTTTTTGGGTCACACCCGGTGATCCACAGGGGTTACTCCTGGCTCTGCACTCAGGAATTACACCTGGCGGTAGCTCAAGGAACCATATGGAATGTTGGGAATCGAACCCGGGTCGGCTGCGTGCAAGGCAAATGCCCTACCTGCTGTGATATCACTCCAGCCCCCGCTTTGAGTTTTTTTTTTTATTTCACTTGGGAGGAAGTTGGGGGCTCTACTCCGCAGTGCTCAGGGGTCCTGGCAGTCTTTGGGGACCATGTGGTGCCGTGGATGGAACCAAGCCCGGGAGCCTGGGCTGGCTCGGATTCGAAAGGCAAGTTCTGCTGGAGCTTCGCGCCCCTGAACCCAGGCCGGCAGGGCCCAGGTGTCGAGGTGTCAGGGATCTAGAAAAGGGGCACCCCAAAATGGGCGCACTCTGGACTCCTGGGGCCAAACTGGGGAAGGAAGAAGGAGGTGAGTACATCACACAAGCAGAGACGTTGAAACAAACGCGTGCGAGTATAGTACAGACACACAGACACAGACAGCCACGGACAGACACAGGCATGCAGACACACAGACACAGCACAGACAGACGCAGGCACACATGCATATACAGACACACAGATAAAGACACACACAGAGACACGCATGCACATAAACAGAGGCACACACGCACACAGACACATGAACACCCAGATGCACACACATACAGATGCACACACACAGATGCACACAGACACATTCACGCAGACACAAACACGCGCCCACAGGCAGCTGGGGCCTGCGTCATCAGTCTCGCGCACCGCCAGGCCAGCCTGTCTCAGCGGACACCCCGGGCAGCTGGCCAGCTGGATCTGGGCCAGGGGGCGGCGTGAGGGTTGCTGATAAACCCACTGGTCATGTGTGCGCCCCACGGTTGGCTGGGCTGGGATCACACGCCTATAGGGCGGGCCTGGTACGAGAAGGAGACCAGAGGGGCCGGGTGACTGCGGCGGTCAAACATACACTGGGCACCGGGATTTCCGGAGCTAAGTGGCAGTGGCCTTGTGCGGGGCTGTCGGCAAAGAAGCCGCGTGACGCACTGGGAAGGCCTCCCCAAGGGAGCGATCACTCCAGAGGCGTCGAGGAGGGCTCGGCGCTGTCTTTTGCGACACCTCCAGGCCAAAGCGAGGGCCAGACACGGCCCTGGGTTTGATTCCCAGCAAAACAGACATAGATCTGAGGGCCTGTCCTTCCAGCCTTACATGTGCTAATGGCCTGGGGTTTCTGTGGCCATGCGTGTCCACACCAGAGTGGGTGAGGTCACCTTAGCCCTGTGTCCAGGTGATGGATCTCCTCACTGCAATGGCAGATCAACATGGTGTCCCCGCCTGCTATAAGCCTGAGTGCCCTTCGAGGCTGCCACCTCCTACAGGAAGTCCCCCTGGTTGGATCCCAAAGGTTTGGAGTTGTGTCTCTCTCCTGAGACTCAGGGAACTGTGCTCTATCTCTGGACAGGGCCATGCCCCTGAGGCCAAAAGTACAGTTTGGGGGATGGGCAGCAGGACCCTCTGTGTGCCCACCTGGCCCCTTAGAGACCACACCACACCTCTCCCGTCTGCGTGTTTATTGCTGCTTCAGGACAGTCCCTCTTGCTGGGGAGCCACAAGGGCTCAGATCTTGCGGCTTCCAAAGACGGGGCGGTTCACGTGCTCGGGGGAGGCCAGGAAGGCCTTGAGCTTGGGCCGGGCACTGAGGCGGGCCACGTAGGCCGAGAGCAGCGGCAGCGAGTCCAGGCAGCCGGGGGCCAGGAGCTGGTGGGCCATGAGGAAGTCCAGCAGGTTGTAGTCGGCGAAGGAGATCTGCGGGGCAGATGCGGGAAGGGCCGTGGGCCAGGGCCAGAAAGAGGGAGGCCAGGGAGAGGCCGCAGGGCCCAGAACTCCAGGCGTAAAGAAGTGACCGCTCTTGGGACTCAGTTGACCCTTCTGAGAAATGGGCCTGCAGTGTGTATGTGTTTGGGGGGGGCGCAGCACTCACCTGGTCGCCCACGATGAAGGCCTGGCCGCCCTGGTTCTGGGCCAGTAGAGTCTCAAACGGCTTCAGGCGCCCGGGCAGCTCCTGGATGTACTGGGCTTTGCCGTCCTCCTGTGGTGTAGATGGCTCCAGTGGGCACCGTGGCCTCTGCCCTGGCCCCCCCGGCCCCGGAACCGCCCCGGGGTCCCACTCACATAGTTGTGGTGGATGAGGTGGCCGCAGCGTTTGCGGAGGTCCTCCACGCCATCATTCACCATGTCCACCTGGGCCGCTGTCCGCGCATCCTTGCCGTAAAGCCCTGGCCAGGCACAGGGCCAGGCTCAGACTCTGAGCTGGTCCCGGGGTCCCCGCTGCCCCCCAGGCTACTGCCCGCAAACCTCATCTGGCTGTGGTCTGCGTCACACCCCGTGCCCCTGGGCCCAGCACGTCCTGCCTGAGTGCCCTCCACCCGGACCCCTCCCGATGTCCACGGCAGCCAAGGGGCGGAAGAGGAAGTGGGGGGCTGTGGCAGACCACTGACCACTCCCCTGGGGCTGAGAAGTTGCCTGAGAGCTCCACCTGTCATCTGGGGCCCCCCAAACACATTCCTGCCCCCCGCCTCGAATTGGGGCTGCAGGCCTGCTCTCTGCACAGATTTTCGGCAGGACCAGAGTGGGGAGGGGGTCAGGCCCACCGCCAAGGCCTGGGGCCTTCCCGCACGCGCCCATGAGGCCCAGGGACCCATCCAGAACACAGAGCAAGCCAAGAGGGGCTCCGGCTTCCTGTCCTCTGGGGACATGGGGTGGGGTGGGGGCGTCCTCTAGTCGCAGGATTCTGAGAGGACCCAGCCCCCCACCCTCTCCCGTCCCCCGACTCACCCAGAGAGCGGCCCAGGTGCCGCAGGATGGCGTTGGACTGGTACAGCGTGAGGTCTCCATCCTGGAACTTGGGCAGCTGCCCATACAGCTGCGGGGGCACAGCTGGGTGAGGGGTGCCGGCCCGCCCACCTCCTCCCTGCCCCGCCCCTCCCACGCTCACTCACACACGAGGCCTTGAGCGGGCTCTGCATCCAGGTCTCCCTGGGCACCACCTCCTCCTTCCAGCTCTGACCCTGGTCAGCCAGCAGCATGCGCATGGCCTCACAGCGCCCTGTGCGGGGCACAGGGCAGTGGGTGCGGGGACCCGGGCTCGCGTGTGCCGGGTGCAGCAGGCTCAGGGACCCCAGGCTTGCTGTATGCTTGTGCACTGCGGGCAGACGGCAGGATGCGGGGAGCCAGCCTTGCAGCAAGCTGGGGAGTGGACTGGGCTGCAGGAACTCAGGGGAGCAGACAGAGGGGCACAGAGCCCAGCTGGACAGCAGGGGAAGAAGTGTCAGGGGAAGGAAGAAGGACAGGATAGAAATCCCAGCTTTCCGTTTTGTTCCACTTTGGGGTCAAACCCGTAGGTGCTCAGAGCTGACTCCTGGCTCTTCATTCAGGAATCACTCTGGCAGTGCTCCGGGGATCATACGGGATGCCAGGGACTGAACCCGGGGTCAGCTGTGCACAAGCCAAGCGCCCTCCCGGCTTACTATCGCTTTGGTCCCAGAAATCTCAACCTTTGAGCCTTCACGGGAGAGGATGAACCGTGGGGAAAGAATGGAAACCGAGACCCCAACGGTCTTTGAAGAAAGGGGCAGACGCGGGGTCCCCCAGGACAGTTGCCTTTGGACCCAAGAGGATGCAGCCTCAGATGGGGCAGAGCCATAGAACAGCGGGTAAGGCACTTGCCTTGCATGTTGGCGACTGAGGGTGGATCCCCGCCACCCCATATGGTCCCCAGCCCAGCCAAGAGTGATCCCCGAGCAAAGAGGATCAGGCCCCGCCTCCGACACGCCCTCTTCCGCCTCGCCCACCAATGAGGCCCCGTCCACAAACCAGATTCCTGTCCCGGCCTCGCCCACAAACGAAGCCCCGCCCCAAAGTCCACGTCCGGCCCGCGATCTAGGCGTCCTGGCCCCGCCCACAAACCAGATTCTGGTCCCGCCTACAAAAGACCCCGCCCATAGCCCGGCCCCGCCCACAAACGAGGCCCCGCCCCGCTGTGCCAGTCCCAAAGTTCACGTTCAGACCGCGGTCTCCACCTCCCCTCCCGGGCCTGCGCGCAGAAATCTGCCTGGAGTCGGGGGGGCACCTGGCCGTGCCCTTGGACGTCCTGAGGACGCGGGACCCACCTCGAGCGGGGAAGTAGACGATGGTGTAAGGCGGCACTAGGAGAGATGGACAGACAGACAGGGCGGTGAACGAGGACCCCCGGGGCAGGGAGCTGGGGTCCGACGCTCCGGGTGGCCAGCCCGGCCCCGCCCCCACCGGCCCACTCTACTCACTGGCTCCGGGCGAGGCAGTGAGGACGTGCGGGAGGCTGAAGGCGCGGGAGCCCCAGGCCTTATATTTAGGCTCGCTCCTCCCTTCACCCCGCCCCGTCCCGCCCCGGGAATGCGCCCGGTCACCTGGAGCCGGGTCCCGGCCACCTGTCCCAACGCCGGGGCACCTTGGCTTTGCAGGAGCGCCCCGCGCCCTCGCCGGGCACCCGTCCCCAAATGCCAGCGCACCTTGACCTTGTAGGAGCGCCCCGCGCCCTCCCCAGGCACCTGTCCCCAAACGCTGGCGCACTTTGGCTTTGCAGGAGCGCCCCGCGCCCTCCCAGCCGGCCCCCAGCGCCGCGAGAGCGACTGCATCGCCCACCCAGTGCCCCTCCCTGACCTGCACGCCCGCAAAGGGTCAGCGACCGTGCGGAGAACTCCAGACACCTTCCAAGGCGAGTTACTTCCTTTTCTAAGGAGTCCTCTGGAAGCACGGAAAGGCTCAGCGACTTCCCGGAGGCCACACAGCGAGCGCACGGGACTCTAGCCCTGGGCTGGCTGACTTCAGGGCCCCCCTTTACCCATCACTCTCCTACAAAGCGCTTCTGCAAAACTTTTTATGTTTTATTTTGGTTTGATGGGGGGAGGTCACACCTAGCGATGCTCAGAGGCTGCTCCCCTCCGAGCTCATTTTGCAGACCAGCTCCCGGCGGAGCGCCGGGGACCAGGTGGTGCTGGAGAACGGGCCCGGGTACCCAGGCGCTCCCGCCCCCGGAGCCATCTCCAAGCCTGGGGCGCGGCGGGCACTTCGGGCCTCGCTGGACGGTGCTCAGGCATGGTTCCCGGCTCTGCTCGAGGGCGCCGCCTGGTGGCGCTGCGGGGAACACAAGGAGCTTGCGCGGCGCCCGGAATCTGTCCTGGGGGGAGCCAGCACCGCGTCCAGGGCCTGTGACCCCGCGGCACTGCCTGACGCCCAGCCAGTCCGCTGAGCTGCCCCTTTCCAGGCTCTCCAGAGGCTTCCTCAGAAGCAGCAGGACGGTCTGGGCCAGACTCCACATGGTTTGCAGCTTGGAAATTGAGGGCATAGCACTCCCGGTGCTCCGGCCCCCAATAAACACACGCACACACACACAAACTCACATAGCACAGAGGCCAAGGAGTCACACACACACAGCACGGGGGCCAAGGAGTCACACACACAAGCACACACACAAATACACACACACACCACAGCATGGGGGCCAAGGAGTCATGCACACAAACACACACCACAGCACGGGGGTCAAGGAGTCACACACACAAACACACACAAACACACACACACACACACCATAGCACGGGGGCCAAGGAGTCACGCACACAAACACACACACAGCACGAGGGCCAAGGAGTCATGCACACAAACACACACACACACAGCACAGGGGCCAAGGAGTCACGCACACAAACACACACACACAAACACACACACACAAATACACACACACACCACAGCACGGGGGCCAAGGAGTCACGCACACAAACACACACACACAGCATGGGTGCCAAGGAGTCATGCAGACAAACACACACACACACACACACAGCACATGGGCCAAGGAGTCATGCACACAAACACACACACACAGCACGGGGGCCAAGGAGTCACGCACACAAACACACACACACAGCACGGGGGCCAAGGAGTCACACACACAAACACACACACACACACCATAGCACGGGGGCCAAGGAGTCACGCACACAAACACACACACAGCACGAGGGCCAAGGAGTCATGCACACAAACACACACACACACACAGCACAGGGGCCAAGGAGTCACGCACACAAACACACACACACAAATACACACACACACCACAGCACGGGGGCCAAGGAGTCACGCACACAAACACACACACACAGCATGGGTGCCAAGGAGTCATGCAGACAAACACACACACACACACACACAGCACATGGGCCAAGGAGTCACGCACACAAACACACACACACAGCACGGGGGCCAAGGAGTCACGCACACAAACACACACACACAGCACGGGGGCCAAGGAGTCATGCACACAAACACTCACACACACACACACCACAGTACAGGGGCCAAGGAGTCACACACACAAACACACACACACAAATACACACACACCACAGCACGGGGGCCAAGGAGTCATGCACAAACACACACACACACACACCACAGCACGGGGGCCAAGGAGTCACACACACAAACACACACACACAAACACACACACACACCACAGCACGGGGGCCAAGGAGTCACGCACACAAACACACACACACACACACACACAGCACAAGGGCCAAGGAGTCCACACCTGACCCTGCCTGGCTGCCTGGCCGGGAGCTGGTTCTCAGCCCAGACCCCCAGCCAGACTGCCCAGTGCTCGGAGGGCAGCTGGCACAGATTGCAGGAAACTTCCCCTTTTCTCTCCCCGCCACCCGGGGTGAGAGGCACCCAGGCGTGAACAGGTTCCTGCTCTGGCAGGGGTGTGTCCAGAAGCAGCCTTGCCCAGCCTGTGTGTGGGCCAGGCGTACCCCGCCCCCCTGTCTTCCTGGGCTCCCAGGGGTGCAGACCCAGCTCGGTTGCTGCCTAAAGCTCATCCCGCCGAGCACGGGGCCTGGGCGTGGGCTTCACTGTGTCCTGTGCAGCTGTAGCTGCTCTCTGATTCTAGAACAGTTCTTGCACCCCAAAAATGCAAAACAAGCCCTGTATGTTCCCCACCCCCCAGAGGACCCCCCCACACACACACACACATTGTTTTCTGCCTGTGGATTTGCCTCTTCCGGGCATTTCATGCCAGCAGAGCCCAGCGGCTTCTCTTAGGGGAGGACTCCAGGCTCCTCCCTGAAGACGTGAGTCTCAGGCCATCCCTCATGCATCCGGGACTCGAGTGGACATGCCCGGGGGTCACCTGGGCTGTCCCACTTTGGAGCTACCTGGAAAAATCCCCCAGTCAACATCTGTGTGCATCGGCCAGGTGCATGTGACCGATGCGGGTTCAACCCGGGCACCCCGGATGATCCCCCAATCCCGCCAGGAGTGCTCCCTGTACACAGAGTCAGGACTGAGCCCTGAGCACTGCTGGGTATGGTTCCCTCCCCCTCAAATCTGTATACTAATAAGAACTTACGTTTTCTTGTTAGTGTTTTTGGTTTGTTGTGTTTTTTTTGGGGGGGGGGTGTCAGGGAGAGGAGTTTGGGCAATGCTGGGGGCTGTTCCTGGCTCTGTGCCCAGGAGTGGCCCTGAAGTTGCTTGGGGACCATGTACATGAGGAGTGCTGGGAGCTGACCCTGGTCGGCTGATTTGAGGCGAGCGCCTGACTCCCGTGGGTCTCTGGCCCCATGAACCTGATGTGGGCAGGCAGAGAGACAGGAAAGGCCTCGTAGCCAGGGAACGTCTAGGAAATAAAGCCAGCTGAATTGACCACGGAATTTCTGGGAAGTCAAGTCCTCAGTCTGACCCGCCTTGTGGATACAGAAAGCAAGACCCGATAAGACCTTCTCCAGCAGCCCACCCTGGGGAGACTGCCCCCTCCCTGCAGAAAGGGCCTGACAGACATTACTGGAGAACCTTCCAATTCCTTCTTTCATCTGGTTAACCTTCAGTTAGCCCAGATAAGAAGAACGGACCCACCCTCCGAGGGAAGATCCAGCAGGACCAAAGGTCAAGAAAAGGAGTTTTGAAGAAAACCATCCAACTCTCTCACTTAGCAACAACCCTAGCAACGGACTCTTGTCTGGCTAGAAAGCCCCACATGGGGGCAGCTTGGAAAAACCCTAGAAAAGCCACCTTGAAGAAAGGGAGGGCACCCATACGCTGCCCAAGCCCGGGTGCTGCTGTGCCCACATGGCCGAGCACCGGTGGCACCCACATGTCCCCTCCTGAGACATGCACCTTCCGACCTGATGCTGGGGTTGTGTAGGGCTCTCTCCGCCCGTGGAGAAGCCGCGTTCTCCCTTAAGTGTGTTTCTCTCCTGCTTTCCCTCCCCTCCACACCTTCAAATAAAATCTGTTCTACTTCACTGCTCGTCTCTTCCTGAAATTCTTTTTATTATTTTTTTTTCTTATTGGGTCATGCCCGGCGATGCACAGGGGTTCCTCCTGGCTCTGAACTCAGAAATTACTCCTGGTGGTGCTCAGGGGACCATATGGGATGCTGAGAATCGAACCCGGGTTGACCGCGTGCAAGGCAAATGCCCTACCCGCTGTGCTATTACTCCAGCCCCTCCTCCTGAAATTCTTTTCTGTGAGGCGAGACAAGAACCCGGTAACCCTGGGTCAGGCCAGGACTGACTGTCCTTTCCTGCAAAGAGCAAATCCTCGCCCCAACCTCAGTCTGTGGCTCCCCGAGAAATCAGGTGGCAGGATCAACTCCCGTGTGCCAGGGAGACCAAGCGAATGTCAGGTGTGGCCAGACGCCCCCCTGGCGGGGCTGGGGGGTGAGGGGTGGGGCTCTGGCCTTCACAGGGGCTCACCTAGCCTTCCCAGCTGGGACTTGGGGTGGCAGAGGGGGGTCGGGAGAAAGTGACTGTCTCTCTCCTCCCCGCCTCACCCCAGCCATCGTGGGGCCCATGACATCAGACTTAACTTTCAGTTCCCTGGTGCAGTCCTGGAAGTTCTGTGTCACACGGGAACTCGCGCTGAGGGCAGCCCCCGCGCCCTGCCACAGGGAAGCTGTGACCTCATGGAGGTAAGGTGGCGCATCACTGTCCCTGCAGTGCCGCTCACAGGACTGAGTCGCTGGCACGCAAGGGAGAGGGGGACGCTCGCCCTGGGAGAGATGACGGGCAAGCTGGGGACGGAGCCGCGTCTTTGCTCACGGGTGGGTTTGGCGCCGTGGGTTTGGCGAGATAAGGCAGTCGTGAGGTCGTGATAGCGCCATGGGCGGGCTCTGGCTCTGCACCAGGAGGTCTGGGTTCAGCCCTGCCTCTGTGGCCCCACCCCGGCACTGCCAGCTCCGCCAAGGCACGGAGCTGGGCGCAGCGTCTGAGCACTGCCAGGTGACTCCAAAGCGAGGTGCTAATGGACGCGTTCTGTGAGGACGTTAGACGTCAGCAGCGACCCAACCAGCCCTACCCACTCAACCACCCAGCCCCTACCTATCCCCACCCCCAGCCGGCTACTCAGTCACCCCCACCTGCCTGCCTTCGGCCTCTCGCTGGGTCCCGGTCCCGGTCATCCTCTCCAACCATCCCCAGGGGCCCATCAGATACCCGCTGACCCATCTCCCCCATCTGCCCCGCCAACACTCCTCGCACCCGTGGCCCATCATCCCGTGCGTCCTTCGGCTCCTCTGCCTCTGCCCCCCTCAGCACCCGCCGGCCGCAGCCCCCACAGCAGGGAGGCCCAGGAGGCTACTGAGAGCCTCCCTCCGCCATCTCCTTCCTCCTTTCCTTTCCTCCTTCCCTCTCTTTCTGCCTGTCCTTTTTTTTTTCTTGGAGGGGGCACAGTCGCCAGTGCTCAGGGGTTACTCCTAGCTGTGTGCTCAGGGATCATACCTTACAGTGCTCAGGGAAGCACAGGGGATGCTGGGGATTGAACCCAGGTCAGCCGTGTGCAAGGAGAGCGCCCTACACACTGTACTTTCTCTGGTCCCTCTCTCTTTCTCTCTCTTTCTTTCTTTCTCTCTTTCATTCTTTCTTTCCTTCCTTTCTTTCTCTCCTTTTCTCTCCTTCCTTCCTTCCTTTCTTCCTTTCTTCTTCCTTCTTTGCTTCCTTAATTCCCATTCATTTTTTTTTCTTCTTTTTTCTGAGAGGGGGCACACTTGTCCATGCTCAGGGCTTACTCCTGCCACTGTGTCTGGGTAACATTCCTGCTGAGGGTCAGGGAACCGTATGGGGCTCCAGAGATTGTACTGGGTCAACCGCACGTAAGGCAAGTGCCCTATCTGCTGTACTATCTAGCCAGACTGCCTGCCTGCCTGCCTGCCTTCCTTCCTTCCTTCCTTCCTTCCTTCCTTCCTTCTTTCCTTCCTTCCCTCCTTCCCTCCTTCCCTCCTTCCTTCCCTTCCCCTCCCCACCCCTCCCCTCCTTCTTCTCTCTTGTGGCGTGGGGCACACCCAGCCTTGCTCAGGGCTACTTCTGACTTGGTGCTCCCAGAGGTGCTCAGGGGAACCCACGCCCTCCCACACATGTGCTGCCCACTGGGCCACAGCCCCATCTCCCCTCCGACATTATCTCTACCCCTCCCCTTGCACCCTCCTGGGCCCTCCACGCAACACGCCTGTGGATTCCAGCTCCCCAACACACAGTTCATGACTAGTCCCTGCCAGGGACCCCAGTACTCACCCTGGGCCAGGCACAAGTTCAACCTTGCTGGGCAACAGCTAGAATGCTGCCTCCTCCAGGAAGTCCCCCTGGTGATGCCTGGTCCATACCCTAGTCACTGGTGTCATTTCTGGCCAGGACTTTCTCGGCAGAGGGGCTGCCCTGTGGCCCCACAGCTGGCCCAGGTTGGTCCCAGCCAGTTTCCAGCATTCACAGAAGGAGTCCAGGAGCGGCCGCACAGGCCCGGCAGCTCATGTGTCAGGCGGGGGCCTCTGAGTGGGGTCTGATTGCCCTGGACAAAGTCTGCAGGGGGGGGGGACAGGGGGGCAGGTGAATAAATCATGAGCGGCCTTGAGCAGGGCCGGGCGGCTGGCCTCATTCGGGGGTGAGGAGCGCACTGGGAGGTGAGTGACCCTGGGCTGTGGCCATCCCCGGGGGGACACTGGGGATGGTCGTGCGTGGGGGGGTTGCACAGGGTTGAGGGCAGGGGAGGGCAGGGAATCCAACTTTCTGAAGCCGGGAGGGAGGCTGAGGGGAGGAGGGGAAGGACTGGAGGAGCCCATGGACAGGGCAGCGGGAGGGAAGGAGGGTCGGGGGCACAGCCGGACAGGTGTAGGGGTCAGAGGGCAGAGGCCAGGGGCAGGAGGGCTGACCACACCTGGCCAGGCACGGAGGCAGAGCCGAGCAGAGGGGCCGCGCTAGGGGCACCCGGGCTCAGCCAGGCCTGGAACTCGGGGGGCTCTTGAGGCGCCCACAAACCCCCTCCCTCAGGACGCGAGGGCCAGGCCCAGCGTGGGGCCCTCTGCCAGCCGCAGCGGCCAGCCCGGACCCCATGGCCCTCCCTCCGGGCCCTGCAGAGGGCAGCCAGGCCTCGGGGCAGCCCAGCCCGGCCGCAGGCACCCCGGGGCCCAGCCAAGGCCCCGCCAGCCCGGCCGCTACCAGACGCGCGCGACTCCGGGCACTGGAGGCCGAGGTCCAGGCGGCCTATGGGCAGGTAAGGGGAGCACAGGTGGGTGGGCAGGCCGGGGGCGTGGACAGCTCCTGCTCGGGCCAGGAGGGCACCCCAGGTGTAGATGGGCGGGGTCGGGGCAGGGGTGTCAAGGCAGGCTGGCAGATCTCAGACAACTGGGTCCTGGCACGGCCGTGGGGTCCAGGGCTGGGAGACGGGAAAGCTCACCAGACTGGGGTGCCGGGGTGCGGGTCCAGGCAACCGCCCTCACTGCAGAAACCCTCAGAGACCACCCGGATTAGGACACGCCCCCAGCTCCCCACACACCCTGGGGACTCCCCCATAGCGGGGTGCAGCAGGGACTGAGGGAGGGGCGTCTTGGTGACCCCCTCCCGGACTCCAGGCTCCGGGACTAGAGCCCAGGGGACCCCTGCCAAGGGGCCTCGCCTCCAGGGGCCACAGGCAGGAGGGCTGGGGGCAGTGGGGGGTGAAAGAGATGGAAAGGGGGTGCTGCGTGCCCAGGAAGCCCCAGATTGCGGCCCACCTCAGGCTCGGGGCTCACAGGCACGGCCCCCCTACCCCGAGACTCAGCGCCCCCCTCCCCCACCCCCACCCCCATTTACTGCGAGGCCTTAGCCGAGTCCTGGGCTGTCCCAGGCTGGGTTTGTCCTCTGAACTGTGGGGGGATGAGGGACCCCCAGCGGCGCCCCTTCCCACGGGGTTCCTGAGACACTAAGGGGGGCGGAGGGAGGGGCCAGGGCGAGCCCCCAGGCCATCGCACCCCTTCATGTCCAGCAGGACTGAAGGAGACCACCTGGGTCCCCCACGGAGGCCCCTGCCACAACCTTAGCCCCACCCCCCGGAGCTAGGGGGTCCCAGCCAGGCAGGAGGGTCTGCACGGCCTGGGAGCGCCCACCTGCGTTTTTCTGTGGCCAGCCGAGGTCGTGGTCACTGCCCCAGGAGAGGGGCAGGCACAGGGGCACCGGGCGCAGGCGCAGAGGGAGCAAGGACGCCCGGGGGGGGGGGGGGCATGCAGCAGACCCCCGGAGATAGACTGATCCGGGCACAAGGCCACACTGAACAACCCCCCCAGCCCCGCCCGCCCCGGGCTCTGCCCAGCTGCACCCCCTAGAACAGGGTGGAAGGGGCGGGGCCGGGACAAGCCCCGCCCTGATGGGCGGGGCCAAAACAAACCCCGCCCATGGGCGGTGCCGGGACAAGCACCGCCCACATGCCGGAGCACCCCTGGCTGAGACTGGAGGGGAGGACGCATTGCCTGGGTGGTCCAGAACCCCCCATCTTTCTGCGCCCCTCAGGACCGGGAGCTGCGGCCAGAGGAGATTGAAGGTAAATGTGTGAGGCCGAGTTTGAGATTTCTGGAAGTGGACATAGATGTTATGGGGTGGACATAGGACGGGCACAGGCAGGCACAAGGCAGACAAGCAGCAGACCCGGGGCGGGCATGGGGCGGGTATGGGGCGGGCACAGGGCGGGCACGGGAGGTCATGGGGTGCGCCTAGGGCAGCCTCAGGGTGGGCACGGGCGAGGTGCATCCTCTCGAGGAGGGAGCAGAGCAAGGAGCCTGCAGGGGCTGGGTAGAGCACCCGCAGGAGGGCGGGGGAGCTCTGATCTGGAGCGTGACCTGCCCCAGTTCCGTCCCCAGCACCCTACAGGGACCCTCAAGCACCCCAGGGATGTCCCCTGGGTGTGACCCAAAAACCCAAACAAAAAGATCCCCATCCGGGAGGTGGTGAGGAGTTGGCACCCACAAGGCTGCCAGGTCCCCATCCCACGGCGGACTCACGGCCCCTCCCCTGCCTCCTCTCAGCCAGGGCTTCCTGGGTGCTGTCCAGGGCCCTGCAGATGACCAGCAGGCATGGGCGTGCCAAGGCAGACGGGCAATGAGTCAGGCACAGGCACGAAGTGTTCAAAGCGGGCCAGGGGCAAACTGAGAGGGAAACGTTTTCTTTATTTGGGTTTTGGTTTGGGGGCCACACCCAGTGATGCTCAGGGGTTACTGCTGGCTCTGCACTCAGAAATTACTCCTGGCGCTGCTCGGGGGAACATACGGGGTGCGGGGGATCGAACCTAGGTTGACCACATGCAAGGCAAACGCCCTCCCCACTGCAGAATCGCTCAGGCTGCCGGGGGCAACATTCCTAATTGGAACCAAGTGGCAAGGACAACACGTGTGTCAGAACCGGACTCCCAGGGGGCAGGGACCTCTTCTTCCAGGGCTTGTGTCTGCAAGACGCTATTGACCCACAGACTTACTGGGCTTCCCTCCCTGCCTTTCTGCCTCCCTCTCTCTCTCCCTCTCTCCATCCCTTCGTCTCTCTTCTACTCTCTTATAGGCAATAGCTCAAGCAGAGTTGACCCATGGCTCTTCTTCTGTAATTGCTAGAAGCATTAAGGAAAGGCATATGCAAAGGTCCTGTGGCAGCCAGGAAAGAAGGGTATTTAGAAGGGGCTAATGGACCAAGAGAAATGGTTCATTTTGGAGGCTTTGGGGAAAAAGACGACTCCCAATCTGCCCTGGCAGAGCTGCAGACGGCCTTCCAGGAGTTTGACCGAGACCAGGACGGCTACATCGGCTACCAGGAACTGGGCGCCTGCATGCGGACGCTGGGCTACATGCCCACGGAGATGGAGCTCATCGAGATTTCCCAGCAAATCAGTATGTCACGGCCCTTCCTGTCCACACACACTGAGTTCCTGGAAGCCTGGGTGCAGGGGCCCCTCTAAGGCCCCTCAGAGCTGGGCCCTGGTCCTTCTCCAGACCAGCTGTGTCTCCAGAGAACCCCACTCTCCCCAATGAGGGGAGCAGGGCAAGGACCAGCCCTACCCAACCACCCCCAGCTGAGGGAATTGGGGTGAGAGAGAGCGCCAGGGTTAAGTGCACCGGCCACCAGGCTTGAATCCGGACACCACATAGGGTCCCCCGCCAGGGGTCACTCAAGAGCACAGAGCCAGGAAAAGACCCTCAGTGCTGCTGGGTGTGGCACCTCCTACCCCACCCCCAAGACACAGGCACCTCGGAAACTGAGTCTCTGAAGGGGAAGTTCTCACAGTCAGCTCACTGGGGCGCCCAGGACCCGGGAAAATTCTGGGGAATTAAGGGGCTGCCTAGAGAAGTTTTGAAAAGTTTTTTTTTTCTTTTGTGTCACACCCAGCAATGCACAGGGGTTATTCCTGGCTCATGCACTCAGGAATTACTCCTGGCGGTGCTTGGGGGACCATATGGGATGCTGGGAATCGAACCCGGGTTGGCTGCGTGCAAGGCAAACTCCCTCCCTGCTGTGCTATCGCTCCAGCCCCCTGAAAAGAAATTTTTAAGGATTGGAGAGCCCTGGGGATAAAGTGTCTGGCTTGTACACAGCCGGCCCTTCCAATCCCAGCACTGCATTGAGTGCCCTGATTACTGCCAGGAGTCAGCCCTGAGCACAGAGCCGGGGGTCGGTCCTGAGCACAGAGCTGGGAGTGAGCCCTGAGCACAGAGCCAGGAGTCAGCCCTGAGCACAGAGCTGGGAGTTGGCCTTGAGCACAGAGCCAGGAGTCAGCCCTGAGCACAGAGATGGGAGTTGGCCTTGAGCACAGAGACGGGAGTTGGCCCTGAGCACAGAGCCGGGAGTTGGCCCTGAGCACAGAGCTGGGAGTCAGCCCTGAGCAGAGCCCAGAGTCAGAGCCAGGAGTCAGCCCTGAGCACTGAGCCGGGAGTCCACCCAGAGCATCACTGGGGTTGGCTGCCATCCTGGGCCAAGTCTGTGCCCGCCTGAGAGGGTGATGCCCACAACACACGGCTGCCCAGTCTGTGGTTCCCAGGGGGACAGTCCGTGGGGGCCAAAGTGGAGGCAGAAGAGAGGATGAACAGTGGGGGGCGGGGTTGGCTGCTGAGGTCTTGCGTGGACATGGCACCCAGGTGGCGGCAAGGTGGACTTCGAAGACTTCGTGGAGCTCATGGGCCCCAAGCTGCTGGCTGAGACGGCCAACATGATCGGGGTCCGGGAACTGCGCGACGCCTTCCGGGAGGTGCCGGCACGGGGGGTGGGGGTGGGACGCAGGGCGGAGGGTGGGGGGCCGCAGGGCGGGGGGTGGGGGGCATGTCCCACTAGCGCCCTACGTCACCCCAGTTCGACACCAACGGCGACGGCCGCATCAGCTTCGGGGAGCTGCGGGTGGGACTCAAGGGCCTCCTGGGGGAGCGGCTGAGCCAGCGGGAGGCGGACGAGATTCTCCGGGACATGGACCTCAACGGGGACGGCCTGGTGGACTTTGAAGGTAGGAGCCCCCGCCCCCCACCATGCCCAGCCCCCACCCGGGGCACCATGTGGCATCTGGCAGGGGCTCCTCTGGCTCAGAGTTCGGGGGGTTCCGGGGTACCAGGGACCCAAGCAGGCCTGTACCCGGCCCTGAGTCACCCGCTGGCCCTGCCGGTGTCTCTTTGGGGGACGCTGCCCCTGGTTCTGGAAACCCTGGGGCTTCACCGGCTCTCAGCTGATGGGACTCGGCCAGGCAGGTGCCAGGCGGGCGCCTAACCCAGACCTCCCTCTGCGCCCAGGGGTCCCCCCTCACCGGCAGGGGAGCTCAGGAAAGAATGAGAATTGGGACAGGCAAAGGTGGTTGGTGGCCGGGAAAGGCGATGCCTGGCTGGAGGAAGTGGCGGGGCTGAGACGGGACCCCCTGGCCCTCCGTGCTGCCTCCTGCAGAGGGGGTCTGGGTTCAGGGCCCGTGGGGCACCTAGGAAATTCAGATTCCACAGCGTCAGCCTGAACTTCTTCCTGAGCTTCCTTGTGGCCCAAGCAAAGAGGGAAAATAAGGTTTGAGGCCTGGGCTTCCCCCACCCTCCACGTCAGACTACCCCTCTGGGGCCAGAGACACAGTCCACTGGGAGAGCTTTTGCCTTGCACGCGGCTGACCCGGGTTCGATCCCCGGCATCCCATATGGTCCCCCCAGCACCGCCAGGAGTGATTCCTGAGTGCAGAGCCAGGAGCAACCCCTGAGCATCGCCGGGTGTGACCCAAACCCCAAAAATCACAGGCACCCTCTGTTTCCCCTCTTCCCAGCCCCAACAGACTGGGGCATCCCTGCGGGCCCTGACCGCTGTCCCTGCCCCTCCCCATGAAGGCCGGCAGCTTGGCCTTGCCCTGGAGGGACCCGGAGAGCAGCCTTGGCTTTGTCTTGGCAGAGTTTGTGCGAATGATGTCTCGCTAGGCCGCCGTGGAGGCTGGGCGCCGAGGCCATGGGGAGCCCGGCTGCCGGAAGTTTCTAGATGCCATCGCCTCATCTTGGCTCCTCCCTCCTCCTGCCCCCACCTGACCCCTACCCCCTCCTCCATCACCCTGTCGCCCTGCTGTTTCTCAAATAATAAAGTGCCCTTAGGCCTGGAGATGGCTTCACTTCTTCGATGTCCACCCCTGCACCCCCGAAGGGAGGCCCCCAACACAAGCCACTGTGTCGGAGATATCCCTGGTGCTTCTCTGGGTGCGGGACCCCGCACTGAGCCTCTGTCCTGGGAACCAGTCGCACCTTGGCTCCTTCCACAGGCCCGAGGGACCGGAGCATAGAACCTTCTAGAAAGAACCTGGAAAGCGGCTGAGAGGAGCGAGTCAGTGACGGACTCTGACTGTCCCAAACACAGGGAGGTCACCTTTGTGCTCCCTGTGGGCGGTCTCTGCTCCGAGCCCCCCCTTTCCATGATCCCCAAGGCACCATTTCAGTGCCAGCTTCCTGGGGTGCCCGTGCCTGGGCTTGCAGCTGCAGGGAGGCTGGATGTCACGTGGGCCTCGCGTGCCCACTTGTCCCTCAGTCTGTGTGACAGGCTGCCGGGATTTCCTTCCTAAGATGCCACTTCTCCGGGCTGGAGGGAGTGTGGCGAGAAAGGTGTTTGCCTGCATGCAGCCGACCAGGTTCTTGTCCTCAGCATCCCTAACGGTCCCCTGCGCCCTGCCGGGAGTGCTCCCTGAACACTGCTGAGTGGGGCCCAAGCCACCCCTGCACCAAAAATAAAAGGGAGGCAGCAGGTTAACGGATGTGGCGGGTGGCAAAGTAGGGGTGAGGGCGGGGGACGGGAGAGGATTGTGCCCACGTCTGCTGCACCCACCCCAACCAGCTGCGCTTGGGGAAGAGCCTGGCAGAGCCGGCCACGAGCCCCAACACAGCATGACCATCACGTCCCCAGAGCCCCCCCGCAGCTCAAGTCCACCTGCTGTGTGGGTGGGAGCCGTGGGCTACACTGGGGCAAGGGATAGCGGCGGAGCTGACCTCCATGCACGTCGCCTCTTCTGCACAGAGAAGAACGGAGGAGGCCAAAGGGCCCGGTAAGGTTGTCACTGAATGAACGTACTTAAAGAACAGCTCCAAATGGCTTTTGAGAGGATCACGATCACAATCACGATCATAATCACGATCATCCTGTTGTTCATCGATTGCCTCGAGCAGGCCCCAGTAACGTCTCCTTCGTCCTAGCCCTGAGATTTTAAAAAGTGCCATATTCAAGGCTCTTTCAGGGTTAGGAGAATGAGACCCATCATTGTTACTGGTATTTGGCATATTGGGTACGCCACGGGGAGTTTGCCAGACTCTGCCGTGTGGGCAGGTTACATTCGGTAGCCTGCCAGGTTGTCCAAAGAATGAGATAATAAGATGTCGCGCGGCTGCATTTGCTGGGAGCTGGGTTTTATAGTCTCTGGGTCTTGGCCGTTGATGGAATTTGAGAGGAGCTCTTCTATAAATCTCCTAAGTACTGTTTTCCTGGAGTTTTTCATACATAGAAGTTAATCTATGTATTAATCTACGTATTAACTTCAGGGGGCTGGAGCGATAGCACAGCGGTAGGGCGTTTGCCTTGCACGTGGCTGGCCCTGGCCGAGCCGGGTTCGATTCCTCCTTTCAAAGAGCCTGGCAAGCTACTGAGAGTATCTCGCCTGCACAGCAAAGCCTGGCAAGCTCCCCGTGACGTATTCGATATGCCAAACACAGTAACAACAAGTCTCAACGATGGAGATGTTACTGGGCCCGCTCGAGCAAATCGATGAACAACGGGAGGACAGTGATACAGTGCTATAGAAGTTAATCTGGGGGACAGGAGTGATAGCACAGTGGGAGGGCGTTCGCCCAGTGTCCACCCAGGTTAGATCCCCGGCATCCCATAGGAGTGGTTCCTGAGTGCAGAGCCAGGAGGAACCCCTGAGCATGGCTGGGTGTGGCCCTAACAAAACAAAACAAACAAAAAATGTTAATCTGGCTGTTATCAGAGGAAAGTCTTGTATTTTTTTTTGTCTGTTTTTGGGAGGGGGCGATTGTACACATGGTGTGCTCAGGGTTTACTTCTGGCTCTGAACTCAGAAATTAATCCTGGCCAGGATCATATGGGGTACTGGGGATTGAACCCGGGTCTGCCACGTGCAAGGCAAATGCCCTATATGCTGTACCACCTCTGACTGCCTGGCACTGTTGACAGTCTCATAACCTCATAGATTCTCCTGCCGTTTATTGACTGAGGGGTTCAGCCTTCTCTCTGTGGTTCCTTAATTTCTACATTGAGGTGGTGCCTTAGTTTCTCTTCTCCAAAGAGCCCAGGATTTGCATGTCAAAGGGATATAGTCATAATGCCTATGGGCTACTTCCGAGTTGGGGAAACTGTGTTCTTTGAGGGGGGCGGCACCTCCGGAGAGGCTCTGCACTCAGGAATTATTTCTCACCTGGTTTTGGGGACTATATGGGATGCCCGGAATCAAACGCAGGTCAGTCGCGTCCAAAGCCAAGGCATCCCCTGCTGTCGATACAGCCCCTAACGTGCCTTTCTTATCACACTTAAACACGGGTGCGGACTGTCCACGTGATATTACCGATAACGTTGGATCTTGACCACTTGACTGCCTGCAGGTTTCTGTGCTATCCAGTCGCTTTCTCTTCTACTGCTCTCCTCCGGAAGTCGTTTTGCACAGACTAAGGGATGGGGGAGCATGATCCACTCGGAAGGGCAGTAGGGCAGTAAGAATCACTTAGGATTCTTTCCAGAGATCCTTCTCTCCTCCCTCTGTAGTCGTTCAAGTCGGTTCTTAGTGGGGGCTCAGAGGGGCGGAGGGAGGCTAAGCTCGACATGTGAGGTTGCAGGGGTGAAGGGGGTCTGCACACGAAAGGCTTTGAGGTGCCGGCGTGGGGCAGGGAAGAGGAGTGTGAATATGTAACCGCACAACTCTATGAGGTCGCGATTCTTTGTTGTTGTTATTATTTTTTTTATTAGTGAATCACCGTGAGGTACAGTTACAGGCTTACAAACTTTTGTGCTTGCGTCTCAGTCATACAATGACCGAGTACCCATCACTCCACCAGTGCCTATTTCCCATCACCAATGGTCCCAGCATCCCTCCCACCCCCTAACCCCGTCCCCTCCACCCTACCCCGCCTCTGTGGCAGGGCATTCCCTTTGGCTCTATGAGGTCGTGATTCTTACTCCCCATTTTACATCTGGGGAAACTGAGGCACGCGAAGGCGAGCAACGTGCCCCTGGGGACACCGCTGGCGGGGAAGGCGTCTGTGATTCAAATCACCCGTCTGGTTCTGAACCGCCGGGGCGCGGATCCAGGGACGGTGCTTAGCCGAGGTTCGCTCTCCTGCGGACCGTCACTGGGGGCCACCGGCGCGGGGCGTGGGGACGGGCAGGACGAGAGGTCCTCGAAGTCACCCTCGGACCTCAGCCCGGCCTGGAGCCGCAGCCAATTCCAACGGGCGGGCTCGGCGGCGGCGTCGTTGAGGGACCCGTTGCCATAGGGACAAAGGCCGGCGGGCGCGGGGCGCATGCGCACCGCGGGGCCCGGGGCGGCACGGTGACAGGTGACGTCAAAGCGCACGGGGTGGGGCGCGGGGCTCGGAACGTCAAAGCGCTGCGTCCTCCGGCGCCCGGAGCTGCGGGCAGGCGCGCCGGGCAGTGCGGACCGGGACCCCGGGGGCGGCACGCAGCGCCGCGAGGGGACGGCACGGGCGGAAGCCCCCCCGCCCCCGAGCACGCACCGCCGCGGCCCGCGGGCCCCCCGCCTGCCGGGCCCCGGGACTAATCGCCGGGAGAGCGCGCCGGCCCGGGCCGCGAACTCGCCAATTGTGGAGGGCGTCGGCCCGCGCCCAATCGGGAACAGACAGGTGCGAGGTCCGGAAGGCGGCGGCCAATCAGCGGCGGTTGCGATCCGTGGGGGCAGGCCCCGGCCAATGAGGACGCGCGAGTGACATCCAGGCGCACCAATCGGGAGTAAGGGAGCCTGCCCGCCCGCCCGCCCTTCCGGCCCGAGCTCTATTTACCAGGGGCGTGCAAGCCGCTTGCCAATCGGATCGCGGCTGCGCGGCCCGGCAGCCAACCCCGGAGGAGCGGCCGGCCGGCGTCCGCCGCACCCAGGAGTTGGGGATGTCCTACAAACCCATCGCCCCCGCCCCCAGCAGCACCCCCGGCTCCAGCACCCCCGGGCCCGGGACCCCGGTCCCTACAGGTGAGCTCCCCCTGCTTGCCTGCTTTGCCTGCCCGGGCGGTCGAGGGAGGGTGCACGAGAACGACGGCCTGACTTTTGCAGCCGGGGGCCTGCCGCCTGCCCTCGCCCGGCCTCAGTTTGCCGGCCCGGGGAGTAGGCGTGGCCACGCCGGGCCCGGTGGGTGGAGCGCGGGGGAGGGGTTTGTCCCTTGAAGTTGGGCGGCGGGGCTGGAAGCAGCCTGCGGGAGGGACCGGGACCGAGCATCGGATCCGACGCGGGCGCGGGCTCGGAGCGCCGGCCGCCGGCCTCCCTGCCCCGCGCTGACCTCTCTTGTTGCAGCCGGGAGCGTCCCCTCGCCGTCGGGCTCGGTGCCGGGAGCCGCGGCCCCTTTCAGGCCCCTGTTTAATGACTTCGGGCCGCCCTCCATGGGTTACGTGCAGGTGAGTTGGGGTCCAGGCCTTGCCTTTTTTTGGGGGGGGTCACCGCAGACCCCCACCCCGGGGCCTGAGTTCACTGCCCCGGTCTCTTGCATAGGCCATGAAGCCTCCGGGCGCGCAGGGCTCGCAGAGCACCTACACGGACCTGCTCTCCGTCATAGAGGAGATGGGCAAGGAGATCCGGCCCACCTACGCGGGCAGCAAGAGCGCCATGGAGCGCCTGAAGAGAGGTGAGTGTGGCCAGCCCAGCACCGCACCGGCCTTCACTGGGGGCCCAAGGACATCTGGAGGCCACGGGAGCCATGGCGCTGGCCAGTGTCTCTCCCTAGAGAGGTGCTGTGAGCGAGATCAAAGACAGGCCACGGGTCAGGCCTTTGTCCTGCACGCAGGTGACCCGGGTTTGATCCCTGGCATTCGTTATGGTCCCCTGAGCCCCGCCAGGCGTGATCCCTGAGTGCAGAGCCAGGAGTCAGCCCTGAACATCACCGGGTGTGGCCCAAAGCAAAAAGAGAGACCTTGCATCTGCCAAAGGCGCCTTGGGCCACCCTTCAGCCCAGCCCCGCAGTGGACTTGGCTTCTGATGAGTGGGAAAAGGGGGAGGGAGGTTGGGGGGCGGGGCTGTGAGGTCCAGGGACCTGAGTGTCACACCCCGTTCCCACTCTGCCCCACCCCAGGCATCATCCATGCCCGGGCCCTAGTCAGAGAGTGCCTGGCGGAGACAGAGCGCAACGCCCGCACGTAACCCGCTGGGACCTGCCCGCCTGTGCAGCTGCCGCCGTCACCGCCGCCTGGACGTCTCCCGGCCACCGCAGGGCGTCTGCTTCTCCCTGGCCTTCACCCCGAGTCGCACTGCCCAGCCTGGGCCTCCTGACCAGTGTCCGGCAGTGGGTGCCCTCCAGAATCCAGGGAGCAGTGCTTCACAGGGACCCCCACCCCGGTTAGCTGCCCGGCCGTGTGCGTCCACCACCCCTACCCCCAGACCTGCGGACAGTGGTGGAGGTGGTGGACACTTGCTCCTGGCCCCGTCCCCACCACTGGCCCTGCCCCTGCCCCCTCCCCCAGCCGGCCCTGCCACCTCCCTGCCTTGTCTCCTGGGCCACAGTCACTCTTTTCTCAGTGTGTCTTTTGCTAAATATGCCCTTTTTTTCTATAAATAAAGGATAATTTGGAGTTGTGCTCTCAGCCGTTCAGTCTTTCTGAGTCTGGTCCTTGTTGTTGACAAGCAAAGAAGCCAAGAGGAGGCCCAGAAGTGAGGGTGCTGCTGTGTGCTGGGGGGCGCTCCCTGGGGGCCACCTTGTCCTGCTCAGCCTTGGCTGCCCGGCAGGCCAGCGGTGGGCAGCGGAGAGCCCTGGGGGCCTGGAGCGCCGCCCTCGGCCGCTGGCGCCACCAGGGGGCAGCACTGGGCAGCGGCTGCCTCCCATCTGGAGGGCACTGCCCCGGGCGGGCCTCGGGCGCTTCCTCCGAGTGTCAATGCCCCGCAAGGTGGCAATGGGGTTCAGCCCTCCGCGCCCGTGCGCGAGTGCCCTTACATCCCGAGCTCCAAAGCCTTACCCGGGGCCTGGCTACACCCCAGGCCTGACCCCTGGGGGGTGGGGGCGGCCGAGGTGCACGTGGCCGGCGGCCCGCGAGACCGACCGTCTCCCCGCCACCTTCCCGGGCCCTGAACCGCCTGGGCGTGGCCCCTCCAGCCCTGCCCTCTGCAGCTCAGCCTTTGCCCAGGGTCCGCGGGCGGCCGCCACCGGAAGGTATCGGTGGGGAAGTGCGGGAGCCTCATGTCCCAGCCCCCGCCTGGGCGCGCTGCTGGCTGAGCCCGGCGGACGCCGCTGGGACCCCCGCCCGTCGGCAGAGGCAAGTGAGACCCGCTGCACCCTCGCCGGGCTGGGGCCTTCCCGGAGCCGGCGGTGCGGGGGGCGGGGGGCTCCGGGCCCGGCGGAGGGCGGGGAGCGCGGACGGGGAGGCGGCGGGCGGGCGGGGCGCGGGACCCCGCGGGCCGGGGAGGGCGGCCGGGCCCAGGAAGGGGGCGGGGCGGGCCGGTGACGCGGCGGCCGCGGGGGACGGGCCGCAGGGGCGCCGGCGGCGGGCCGGGAGCGAGGTCGGGGCCATGGGCCGGCGCTGCGCCTGCGGAGGGGCCGGCCAGCGCGGGGAGCCGCGGCCGGGGCTGGGGGCGCCCCGGGCTCCGTCCCGAGGCCCAGCCGCGCCCGCCCGCGCCGGGTGAGGGGCGCCCGCGCGAGCCCCGAGGTGAGCCGGGCGCGGGGCGCGGGGGGCGCGCGGCCGGCCGGCGGGGCGCAGGGGGCAGAGGTGCGGGGCCGGGGCGCAGGTGGGCGGAGCGGGGCGCCCGGGCGGGGGCTCGGCCCGGGAAGTGGGGGAGGAGGACCGGGAGGCTGCGGATCCCGGGGGGCGGTGCAGGAAGGATGCCGGGGCCCGGGCGGCCGGCCCGGGCGGCGAGGCAGGTCCGGGGAGCGGGGCCAGCTGGTCCCGGGAGGTCGCGTGGGGTGCGGGGAGCACCGCGGCTGCCCAGCAGGGGCGCGCGGGCTCCGGCACGAGACCCCCCTCCCCGACCCCGGGACCCCGGCTCCAAGTGGACATCGGGGCCCCCCAACACAAGTCGGGGAGCGGGGTGCCGGGCGCGGGCCCCGGGGCCGAGCCGGGCTGGAGGGCCCGGGGGGCTCGCGGGTCCCGGGGGCCGCGGCTGCGGGGGGCTCGGGCCGGCCGCGGCGGGGAGCGGCCGCCGGGGGGGCCCGCGTCAGCGCGCGGTTGCCGTGGCGACGGCGGGCGGGGGCTCGCGGAAAGGAGGTCAGCGCTGGGCCCCGCGGCGCTGGGCCGGCCCGCGTCTCCCGCCGGCGCCCGGGGCTGCGGCCGCCCGAGCCCCCCGGTGGGCGCGCAGGGCTCGGGCCGCGCGCCGCCGCCCCGCACTGAGGCCGCGCCCGCCCTGCGCCAGGCCGAGGAGCCGAGGCCGCGCGGCGGCCCCCGAGCGCCCCCAGGATGCTCATCAAGGAGTACCACATCCTGCTGCCCATGAGCCTGGACGAGTACCAGGTGGCCCAGCTCTACATGATCCAGGTGAGCGCCCCCATCCCTCCCTCCCTCCCTCCCTCCCGGGGGCCGGGCTGACGGCAGGAGGCGCAGGCCGCACCCCAGGCCGGCGCCAGGCCCATCCCAAACCTCCCCCCACCCAGCAGTGACCCGCTCCGGGCTCGGCCCCCAGGACCGGTCCCCGACTTCGGGGGCCTTGAGTCTCCCGTCCCCCACCCCGCCCCCCCTGGCCCGGCCCCTCCTGCGCGCTCAGCCCCTGCTGATCTCTAATCCTCTTTAGCATCGGCTCCACCGCGGAGTGGGGAAGGGTTTTGCCTCCCAGGAAACCAGGGAGAATTGCGGCCGGTCCCCAGACTGTGTCAGACAGGGGCCCCGGGAGCGGAGGAAGGACGACAGGCAGGGCCTGGGGCCAGGGGGGCCGGGCAGGCTGTCCCCGGGCAGAGGACGGATCACAGACCCCCAGAGGCTGCTCTGGATGAGTCCCCCCGGCTCAGCATGAGAAGGATCTGAGATTAGGCAGCCAGGGTTCAGCCTCTGAGCACTCGGAAGGAGGTCGCAGCGAAGGAGGGGTCTGGAGGCAGGCCCTCCAGGGGCCCGAGTGATGGGACAGCCGGGAGGGCGTTTGCCCTGCATGCGGTTGACCCAGGTTCGATCCCCAGCATCCCATATGGTCCCCTGAGGACCACCAGGAGTAATTCCTGAGTGCAGAGCCCAGAGTAACCCCTGAGCATTGCAGGGTGTGGCCCCAGAATAAAAACAACAGAGGCAGGACCCCCAGAGGTGGGGTGCAGCCCACCCATGCCGGCCTTCTTGCCCCAAACACAGCCCCCAGGCTCCCTTTAACCTGAGAACTAACCTGGGCTCCTCCTGGGCCCCTCTGCGCCCGTCTCCAAGCCTTCGCATCCAGTCCCCCCGCACATCCTGTGCTCTACTTTCCTGCGCTCTGTGAGAACAGACACCCCTGGGGATCCCCCAGGACTCCCCCTAATAGTGCCTGCCACAGCGCAGACTCACCTTCCTGCTGACAGCCCGGTGCCAGGCTCTGGGTGGTGACAGGGAGGCTGAGCCCTGACTGGGGGGGGATCTGGGGGCCAGTTCCGGGGCATCGCAGAGGCCAGGCCTCGGGTCCCTGCTGCCGAGGGGCTCACCTTGCTCATCCCTGGGGCTACAGAAGAAGAGCCGGGAGGAGTCGAGCGGCGAGGGCAGCGGCGTGGAGATCCTGGCCAACCGGCCCTACACGGACGGGCCCGGGGGCAGCGGGCAGTACACGCACAAGGTCTACCACGTGGGCTCCCACATCCCAGGCTGGTTCCGGGCGCTGCTGCCCAAGGCGGCCCTGCAGGTGGAGGAGGAATCCTGGAATGCCTACCCCTACACCCGGACCCGGTGAGTGTGCAGGGCCGGGGTGCCCTCTGGGGTGGGGGGGGTGCACTCAGCCCTGACCTGTTCCCCGCCCCCACCCCCACCCCCCGCCCAGGTATACGTGCCCCTTCGTGGAGAAATTCTCCATTGAAATCGAGACCTACTACCTGCCGGATGGGGGACAGCAGCCCAACGTCTTCAACCTGAGCGGGGCTGAGAGGAGGCAGCGCATCCTGGGTGAGGCTTGGAGCCCCCCCACACACACCCCGCCTGGCCCGGCTTTCCAGAAAGGCTGCGCCATCCCCTGGGAAGGCAGCGGAGGGGGGAGGGCCCAGCCGGCCGGGATGTGGCTCAGTGCTGTTGAAACCCCCCCAGACACCATCGACATCGTGCGCGATGCGGTGGCCCCCGGCGAGTACAAGGCGGAAGAGGACCCGCGGCTGTATCGCTCGGTCAAGACAGGCCGGGGGCCGCTGGCCGACGACTGGGCGCGCACCGCGGCACAGACGGGACCCCTCATGTGCGCCTACAAGCTGTGCAAGGTGGAGTTCCGCTACTGGGGCATGCAGGCCAAGATCGAGCAGTTCATTCACGATGTCGGTGAGCACCCCCACGCCGCGCTGCAAGCTCCCTGCCTGCCCCCTGCTGACACGCCGAGCCCAGAGACAAGGGTTAGACGGCTGGAAGTGAGGGTTAGACGGCGGATGCTGGCCGCACACTCAGGACCCTGCCGGCTTCCCCTCAATGGAGCCAAGATTCTCCTTCGTTCTGTTGTGACCACATGAAACTTAGGGGTGCTCCCCGGAGACCCCCACAGACATGGTGCCAGAGTGCAGGTTCTGATGTAATTTTCTTTTTTTTTTTTCCTTTTGCTTTTTGTGTCATATCCAGCGATGCTCAGGGGTTATTCCTGGCTCTGCACGCAGGAATCACTCCTGGTGGTGCTCGGGGACCCTATGGGATGCCGGGGATTGAACTCGGTCGGCAGCGTGCAAGGCAAACTCCTTCCCTGCTGTGCTATCGCTCCGGCCCCTGATGTAATTTTCTTGGGGTGGCCTCCACCCCTCGTCCTATAGTCCATCTGTCGTCTGGGACTCCTGACCTTTAGCCCTGCCCCACTCCCCGGGACCGGAAGTTGGGGGCCCCATGCAGGTAGAAGGGTCACTTCCGGATGAGGCATGACTGGCTCCCACTCTGCCCTGCCATGAAACCAGGCAGGTGGTGCCCAGTGTTAAGCCCCTTAGACAGTGATGCCCGCAGGCCAGATTCGGTCTTGGCTTTCGTTTTGATTTGGACCCTACCTGCCAAGCTCCGGGCTTAGCCGTCACCCACTGATGCTTAGGGACCACGTGGGCCGGGGGCATAGCCCACGCTCCAGCCCTTTGCGCTCGGGCCCCGCTTTTTAAACAAGATTTCTTGTAACACCCCCACGCCCCTCCAGGTGGGGACTATTGTGATCCTCGTGTATGGACGGGAAAGTGAGCTTAGCGAGTAAAGAGACTCCTGCCTTACATTTGGAAAATTACCAAAAAAGCCCAAATAAGCGAAGGAAAACCACCCCCGTACAACCACCACGGAGAGAGAGATTTCCTCCCCGCGGCTTGGACTCAATTAGCATTCAACCATCGCTGCCTTCCCTCCAGGCTCCCGAAGTTCCTAACTTTCTTCCTCTGCTTAAGAGGAAAATATCCCAGAATGGGTATCATCTTTCACTAGAACCTTCATTAAGTGCCAGCACTTCCATTAACTATTAACACCTTCATTAACCACCAACAATTTCATTAACTGTTCGCGCCTTAATTGTTATCCGCCCGGAGAAGCCGGCAGGAGGTCCGCGGGAAGGAACCGCTGCCGTCCCTGTGCCCGGCTTCTCTGCCCGTTGCGGTGGGGTCTGTGCCAAGGGAGGGGGTCCGGGGGAGGCCGAGGGGGCACAGGCGAGGAGAAGGTGGGCAGGGAGACTCTCATCCTGCCCTACTCTGGCTCTCTGGGTGGGTGCTGGCCCCAGGAGCCCTTCCCGGACCCACAGAGCTGGGCTGGGGGCTGCAGCACCGTGAGCCTTGGGCCAAGACAGGGGGGGCACGACCCTGAAGCCCTGGCACCGACAGGTCTGCGGCGGGTCATGCTGAGGGCGCATCGCCAGGCCTGGTGCTGGCAGGACGAATGGACAGAACTGAGCATGGCTGACATCCGGGCCCTGGAGGAGGAGACTGCCCGCATGCTGGCCCAGCGCATGGCCAAGTGCAACACGGGGGGCGAGAGCCCCGAGGCCGAGCCCCCGGGGAAGCCGAGCGCCGAGCCCCGGGCGGGGACCAGCCGCGCCAGCACCCCTGATGGGCCTGAAGCCCCCCGCGGCCCCGACGCCTCCCCCGACGCCAGCTTCGGCAAACAGTGGTCCTCCTCATCCCGGTCCTCCTACTCATCCCAGCACGGAGGTGAGTGGGGGCCTGGGGTGGGGGGCGGGGAGCACGGCCGGGGAGCACAGGTTGAGCCCCCACTCGGCCCTCAGGTGGCGTGTCCCCCCAGAGCCTGTCCGAGTGGCGTATGCAGAACATCGCCCGCGACTCCGAGAACAGCTCCGAGGAGGAGTTCTTTGATGCCCACGGTGAGCGCCGCTGCCCAGGCCGGGGCGAGGGTCTCAGCAGCTGGCCCCCACCCTGACGCAGCCCTGGTCCCTGTAGAAGGTTTCTCGGACAGCGACGAGGTCTTCCCCAAGGAGATGACCAAGTGGAACTCCAACGATTTCATCGATGCCTTTGCCTCCCCCATCGAGGCCGAGGGGGCCCCAGGTAATGGTCCCCCCACCCCAGGCTGCCTCCTTCTGCACCGTCCCTCCCCCCCCGCCACTCCATGGGCTGGGGAATAATTTAGTCATGACTTCAATGGTGTTGTGAGATAAAAAGTCTCCCCAGAGAGGGGCTCACTCTGGACAGAGCTGAGGCACGTGCCTTGTGAGCGGCTGTTTCTGGCCACCCTGGTTTGATCCTTGACACCACATATGACAGCCTGAGTCCAGAGCCAGGAACAGGCCCTGAGCACCCCCAGATGGAGCCCAAGCCCTCCCTCCCCCATAAAAAACAGGATGGATTGGAGCCAGAGAGATAGGTGTCGTATGCAGGAGCCCTGGGCTTCAGCTTTAGTGCCATGTGGGCCACCAGAACCAAGCAAGGTGCAGGGTTAAGCACCCAAAACAGACAAAAAGATGGTGATGGGGGGGTGGGTGGTATCAGGGTCCCGACTAGCTCAGTGAGGGTCTTCACTGGGGCCTGGGAGGGGAGGTCAGGGCCAGGGAGGCACGGCAGAGGTGGTCTTTGTGGGGGGAGGGGCTGAGCTAGGGGCACTGACCCATTTCCCTGTGCTAGTGTGTCCTGCTGGATGGAACCTGCCAGGCTGGCCAGCCTGTGCATGGGGAACACCCACCAGCTGCGGGCTGGCCCCAGCAAGGCCCAGCCACATGCAAGACCTTCAAGATCTAGGCGAGAATTACGGAGGCCGGGTAGTTGCTCTGGCAGGCACTGATTGGGGTCCAGGGAGTGTCAGGTGAAGGGCTCCCCAGGACCCCCCGGCCTCCTCCCGGCTTCCTCTCCCACAGAGCCTGGAGCTGAGGTCACCAAGAACATCAGGGACGGGACACGAGTGCCCAGGGATTCAGAGGTGAGAGGAGCCCCCTGCCTGGTCGGGGTTCTGCCTGCCTGCGGCTGGGCCCCCTCTCACACATGCACACCCCCACGCCCCGCAGGGCCCCGATGGAGCCAGTGAGCTGGGGGCCGAGGCGTGCGCCGTCCACGCCCTCTTCCTCATCCTGCACAGCGGCAACATCCTGGACCCCGGCCCCGCCGACGCCTCCTCCAAGCAGGCAGACGTGCAGACTCTGCGCCTGGCCTTCGAGGCCGTCACCCGCATCCACTTCCCAGAGGCCCTGGGCCACGTAGCCCTGCGCCTGGTGCCCTGCCCGCCCATCTGCGCCGCCGCCTATGCCCTCGTCTCCAAGTACTGCTGGGGCCAGGGATCAGGAGCCCCCGGGGCAGGGGCGGGAGAGGCCAGTCACACACACGCTGGACCCGGGTTCTCTGGCACAGTCCTGGGCCCGGATGCCTTCTGCCCCAGAGGTCCACGGTGCTCGTGCACATGTGCACAGGCCAAGGGGTGGTGGCGGGGGGAGGCACAGGGGGCCTGGAGGTCCTCTCCACCGGCCACCCCCCCTCTCTTGCAGCCTGAGCCCCTACAGCCACGACGGCGACAGCCTGGCCCGCTCCCAGGACCACATTCCCCTGGCCGCCCTGCCGCTGCTGGCCACCTCCTCCTCCCGCTACCAGGGGGCTGTGGCCACCGTCATCGCCCGCACCAACCAGGCCTACGCCGCCTTCCTGCGCTCGGCAGAGGGTGCCGGCTTCTGCGGGCAGGTCGGGGGCTTGGGGGGGGTTCCTGGGAGCCCGCTGCCCGCCCCCACGGGCATCCCCTCCTGATGGCACTGCCCTCTTGCCCAGGTGGTGCTGATCGGGGACGGCGTTGGTGGCATCCTGGGTTTCGATGCGCTCTGCCACAGTGCCGGCACGGGCACGGGCAGCCGGGCCAGCAGCCGCCGGGGAAGCCTGGTCAGTGCGGTCGGCGTATGGCCTCCTTCCTGCTCCCACTTCCTGCCCCACCCCCACGCCTGTCCCTTCGCTTCCAAATAAGTCGCGATCCCTCATCCCTACTCCTGAAGATCCGTCTCGGCCCGGTTCCTTCTAGAACAACGAGCTGCTCTCACCCGAGGTTGGCCCCGTGCGTGACCCGCTGGCAGATGGCATTGATGGGCTGGGCCGGGCCAGCCCAGAACCCTCGAGTCTGCCCACCCAGCGGCCCCCCAGCGACGTGGCCGGTCCCGAGCCGGAAGGCGCCCAGAGCAGGTGTGGCTCCCACCCTGGGGCCAGGCTAGGGGAGTGGGGGGGTCACCACTGAGCCCCTCCCTGTCCTCCCCACAGCCTGCAGGCAGCACCCTCCAGCAGCTCCTCGGGGGAGCCGCGGCGGGCCAGCACCTCTGAGGCTGCCGACTGCCCGGCCAGCGCCGCACGCCTAGACTTTAAGGTCTCCGGCTTCTTCCTCTTCGGCTCCCCGCTGGGCCTGGTGCTGGCACTGCGCAAGACAGTCATGCCCGCCCTGGAGGGTGAGCACAGGGAAGGGCTGATGCGGGCCCCCTGCCCTTCCCCCACACACACACATAGCACCATGTAGGGGGCTGGCAAGGGGCCCAGAAAGACGGGACCTGCTGAGGCCAAGTCCCCAAAGGACCCAGGAGGGAGCCAGGGCCCTCGAGGGGGCCGAGAAGTGCTCCTTCCCCCACCTCTGGGGCAGCAAGAAGGCTCTGTCGTCCCCTCCCCCCTTAAAATCCTCGCAGGGGTGGCTCCTGGGGGCACTGGGGAAGTATAGGAGTGTGGGGTGGGACCCTATAACCTGCTCTCAGGCCAGGGACCACTTCCTGGCCCGCCTCATCCCTTAGCCCAGGGCTCTCACTTGAAGCAGTTGGGGGTGCTGGCTCGGACCCCAGAGCAGGAGAGGGTGCTGTTTACACTGACACTGCCCTCCCCCCCCTTTTTCTGGGAATCAGTGGCCCAGATGCGACCGGCCTGTGAGCAGATCTACAATCTCTTCCACGCGGCTGACCCCTGCGCCTCCCGCCTCGAGCCCCTGCTGGCCCCCAAGTTCCAGGCCATCGCCCCCCTGGCTGTGCCTCGCTACCAGAAGTTCCCCCTGGGAGATGGCACGTCCCTGCTGCTGGGTATGACCCCCACGGCCCCCCACCAGGATGAATGGGGGAGGGACGGCGTGAAGTAGCTGCTGCCTCATGGCCCCTCACCTCTCCTCCGGTCCAGGCCCTTCCTGGCCACGTGTGTTTGGGGGTGGGGGGGCTTTGGATTCCCAGGCTCCTCTGATGTTCAATGCCCAGGTGTGAGGGGCAGTGAGGGGGCATCCATGTGCCAGTGTCTGAGCAGCCGCCAGTATTGGGGTGCAGGTGCCACTATCCAGAATCCCCATGTTGGCATGGACCAGACAGGTGCAGGCCACACCCACTTGCGTCCCTGGCCCCGCCCCTCTAGGCCACACCCAGCAAGGGTTCCCCGCCCCTCTAGGCCACACCCAGTTCAGAGTCCCCGCCTGACCCATGTATTGGGGTGGGAGGCTGAGCCCTGCCTCGGCCCAGCCCTGGTGGGGGTGAGGGGGTGGGAGGCCTGCCACTGAGGCCATGCCCTCCTGCAGCTGACACTCTGCAGACCCACTCCAGCCTCTTTCTGGAGGAGCTGGAGCTGGTGCCCTCCACGCCCACCTCTGCCAGCGGCGCCTTCTGGAAGGGCAGTGAGTTGGGCGGGGAGGTAGCCGCGCCGCCAGCTGCCCCCAGCACCACCGGCGAGGTGGTGAAGAGTAAGTCGGGGTCCTCCTGGCTTGCGGGGTGGGAACGCGGGGGGCACCTCGGAGGCCCAGCATTTCCCACCCCTCACCTCAGCACCTGGCCCGGGCTCTTGGCGGAAAGGAGGGCGGGGGCCGGGGGGAGAGGCCCCCGCTGACCCGCTGCCCGCGCGGCCGTGCAGTCCTGGAGCGCTGGTGGGGGACCAAGCGGATCGACTACTCGCTGTACTGCCCCGAGGCGCTGACCGCCTTCCCCACCGTCACGCTGCCCCACCTCTTCCACGCCAGCTACTGGGAGTCAGCCGACGTGGTGGCCTTCATCTTGCGGCAGGTGGGCCCGGGGACACGGCCAGGGGGACAGGGCCGCCCGGGGTGGGGGCGCCCTTCCTAGGGTCTTGTCCGCCCCGGCCCTGTGCAGGTGATCGAGAAGGAGCGGCCACAGCTGACCGAGTGCGAGGAGCCGTCCATCTACAGCCCAGCCTTCCCCCGGGAGAAGTGGCAGCGCAAGCGCACGCAAGTCAAGATCCGGGTGCGGCCCTCCAGTGCAGCCGGTCCCTATTGCCCTGCCCCAGTGAGGCGGGGCCATGCCCTGTAGGCCACACCCACCTGCGTCCCAGGCCCCGCCCCTGGGCCACACCCAGGGCAGGGTTCCCCGCCCAGTCTCCACCCCACTCCTGTAGGCCACACCCACTTCAGAGTCCCTGCCCAGTCCACAGTACCCCTTTAGGCTACATCTAGTCCGAAGTCCCCGCCCAGTTATCAAACTGCCCCTGTAGGAGACACCCAGTTCCAGAGTCCCCGCCCAGTTTCCACCCTGCACCTCTAGGCCACACCCAGCTCAGAGTCCCCGCCCAGTTTCCACCCTTGGCCCCGCCCCTAATGTAGCCCCACCTCTTGTCCAGGCCCCGCCCCTATCCTAAGCCTGGCTGTGGCTCCGCCCCACCTCCTTCCCCCACCCCCTGCCCATCCTATCTCATGCGCCCCCCCCAACCCCAGCTTCATCCTCTACATCCCAGACATGCCCCCTAGAACAGACCCACACAACACGGTCACCCGACTTTCCTCCCGCGCTCACACCTTCTCCTCTCACCAGAACGTCACATCCAACCACCGGGCGAGCGACACGGTGGTGTGCGAGGGCCGCCCCCAGGTGCTGAATGGGCGCTTCATGTACGGGCCCCTGGACGTGGTCACGCTCACTGGAGAGAAGGTCAGACCCAGGGCCTGGCCCCGTCACAGCTGCACCCATCGGCCGGCGCTCCGCTCTTGGTTCCCGGAGGGGGCCTCTGGCCTGATGGGTTTAGCACCCCCTGAGCCCCCCCCCCCACGACGGGCTGTGCAGGGCCTCCGGCCACTGGGGTGATCGTGACCCCAGCTTCCCTGCCCCCGGCCACGATCGTCACTCCTGACCCCAGCTTCCCTGCCCCCGGCCACGATCGTCGCTCCTGACCCCAGCTTCCCTGCCCAGGTGGATGTGTACATCATGACGCAGCCCCTGTCGGGCAAGTGGATCCACTTCGGCACGGAGGTCACCAGCAGCTCGGGCCGCCTCACCTTCCCGGTGCCCCCCGACCGAGCCCTGGGCATCGGCGTCTACCCGGTGCGCATGGTGGTCAGGTGAGCGCGCCCAGCGAGGCCCCTGCCCCGGGTGGGGGGCTGCGCGGCCCGGCGCGCCCCTCACCCCTTCCCCTCGCAGGGGCGACCACACCTACGCCGAGTGCTGTCTGACGGTGGTGGCGCGGGGCACCGAGGCCGTGGTGTTCAGCATCGACGGCTCCTTCACCGCCAGCGTCTCCATCATGGGCAGCGACCCCAAGGTGCGCGCCGGCGCCGTGGACGTGGTCAGGTAGGCGTGGCCAGGGCCCAGCGGCGGGGAAGCCACGACGCCCCTGCCCTGCCCTGCAGCGCCGCACTGACCGCCGCCCCCTCGTGCCCAACCCCCCCGCAGGCACTGGCAGGACTCGGGCTACCTGATCGTGTACGTCACGGGCCGACCTGATATGCAGAAGCACCGCGTGGTGGCCTGGCTGTCGCAGCACAACTTCCCCCACGGCGTGGTCTCCTTCTGCGACGGCCTCACGCACGACCCGCTGCGCCAGAAGGCCGTGTTTCTGCAGAGCCTGGTGCAGGAGGTGCGGCCGGGAGGCCCCGGTGGTCGCGAGTCCCCCGCCGCCCGCCCCCAGGTGGCTGACTGCCCCGTGCCCCCCACACACAGGTGGAACTGAATATCGTGGCCGGCTACGGCTCCCCCAAAGACGTGGCGGTGTACGCGGCGCTGGGCCTGCCAGCCAGCCAGACCTACATCGTGGGCCGTGCAGTGCGGAAATTACAGGCTCAGTGCCAGGTGCGGGCTCCGGGGACTGCAGGGAGCCGGGCCTGGGGCCGGCAGATCTGAGCACCCCAAGGAGGACCTCCTCGGACAGGAGGGAGCACTTGGCCTCCTTTGGGGGGACAAGCCCAGGCAGCCGCACAGCACAACTACACTTCCTGCCCACGGCTCCCATCTGGCTGAGGTCCCCAGGAGTCCACGGGAGGGGTGGAGTAGGAGCAAGGCAGGGTGCCCCCCCCCCCCAGCCACGTGGGGCTGTGCTGGGGTCAGGCGTGTGGCGCTGCCCTTCAGCCCTGCCCTCCTCTGCCTACAGTTCCTGTCCGATGGCTACGTGGCCCACCTGGGCCAGCTGGAAGGCGGCTCCCACCCTCACTCTTCAGCGGGACCCTCCAGGGCCAAGAGCAGCTATGGGGCAGCCGGCCCCGCCGACTTCCTCCGCAAACAGAGCCAGCTGCTTCGTTCCAGGGGCCCCAGCCAGGCCGACCGCGAAGGGCCCGGGACTCCGCCGGCCACGCTGGCCCGGGGCAAGGCCCGCAGCATCAGCCTCAAGCTGGACATGGAGGAGTGAGGCGGGTCCCGCCGCACCTGAGTTATTTATTCACACGCTACCTGCGGGGCCGCGTGGAGCTGGTCCAGGTGGCCCTCGGGCCCCTGCTTGGCCCCCAGCCCCACACCCTGCACCCGCCCTGCCCCTCAGGGTCACTTCCCTTTCATGTGGGGGACACAGCCAGCCCCGGGGGAGGGAGGGGGCTCTCCATGCCTGTACTTCCACGAGAATAAACACCAACTGCTCCCCGCCTGGTGGCTGCCTGCTGCACTGAGGGGCCAGGCTAGAACCTGGGCCTCCCGGGTCTCATGGCCGGGTCTGCACAACCCCTGCAGCAGGGGTCCAGCAAGGCTTCCCATGGGAACCTCTGGTCTGGATGCCAACAGACGTCTGGGGCTCAGAGGTGGGCTGCTTGTGTGGGAAACCCCCTTCAGACATATGCCTGGCTGGTGGCTCTGGGCACCTGGGCTCTTTCCACAGTGCTCTCACTCCTGTGGGGGCCCCGGGCCTGGGTCACCACAAACACCCACATACCCCAGCTCGCCACAGGAGTCAGCCGGACAGTCCGTGAGAGAACAAGGTGTTTATGTACAGAGAAGCAAGCTAGAGGCGGGCCCGCAGGGCGGCCGCTCAATGGGAGAAGATACCCCGGAAGCGGGCCTTGTCCTCCTGGTCCTTCTGCCGGATCCGGGCGTCCAGGGCACGCAGCTCCCGGCTCACCACGGGCGCTAGGGCGGGGTCCAGCTGCAGCACCTTGGCGAAGTCGGCCTGGGCCTCCTGAGCGTTCCACACGGCCGCGTGGGCCTTGCCCCGCTTGAAGTAGGCCTTCACGTTGTCTGCGGGGACAGCCACAGGCACGCGAGTGACGCGGAGCCCGGCCAGCCAGCCGGCCAGGAGCCCCCCTGCGGGGCAGCGCGGGTGCTCACCGTCATACTTGTTGAGGATGGAGGAGCAGTGGTCCAGGACCTCGTAGTACTCCTGTGCGACCAGCTTGCACTGGCAGTAGTTGAGCAGCAGTGGGGTGATCTGCTGGTCCAGCTCGATCCAGTCGGGGGAGCCGGGCTGTTCCTGGGGCAGGCACAGGGGCCACTGAGCTCTCGCGCCTCCCTCCCTGGGCTGAGGCCCCCGCCCCCGCCCGCCACGCCACGCCACCTTCATCTGCAGGTTCTTCAGGCAGGCGATGGCGTCGTAGTACTTGGCGGCCGCCTCCTGCACGTGGCCCTGGCGGTAAAGCCGGTTGCCCTCCTGGTGGATAAGCGGCACCGCCTTCACCTTCTCCTCGTCTGTCATGGCCCAGGGGTCCTGTTGGTACGTGCCGGGGCCCTCCACCTGCGGGGACACAGGCCAGTGAGATGCCGTCGGCGCTGATGCCGGGGTGGGGGAGGGGCGCGCGGGTGGCCGGGGGCCCCCTCACCTTCAGCATCTCGATGTCGAAGACCAGAGGCTGGGGGTTCTGCTGCAGGGCGTCCAGGTCAGCGTGGCCCAGCGACGTGTGCTCGTGCATCTGGGCCACGCCGCAGCAGTGCCGCTGGCCCTCCATCGGGTCCTTGCCCGCTGCGATGTTGCGAAGACTCTTGGCCACCAGCGGGTACAGGACCACATGCTGCGGGGGATGCCAGCCGCTTGGTCAGCGTGGCCGGGCTGAGGGACATGGGCCCAGAGAGGGACGGCAAGGAGGGCAGCAGGCCTTGCGCTGCTGAGAGCTGTGTGGGGACCCCCGGGGCTTCTGGCTCTGCCCACACTCTGGCCACCCCAGCAGAATGTCCCCCAAAACACACACTCTCTCTCTCCAAGTCAGCAGAACTAATCTCCCGCCTCCCCCTCCCGGGACCCAGGTCCCCCACGCCCTGCTGTGTCTGCCTGGAAGCAGGGACCCTGGTTTGTCATCTGTCACTCGAAATAGTGGGGTGGGGTGCCCCAAAAGTCTGAGTGGCTCGTCCCACTATGCTGTACCAACTGGGCTCTGGGTTGGTCACTTTGGAACGAGAGGTCAACGGGCTGGATCCCTGCCTCACAGAGGCTAAAACCCAGGCAGAGACCACAAAAAGCCTGGCCATGTAGCGCAAGACAGGTGCAGGACTCAGAGAAGAGGTTCCAGCCAGGAGGGACAACCAGAGAGGGCTTCCTGGGGGCGGCGACTCAGGAATTTGCTTTGAAGTTTCAGGGGGAATGCTGGCCAAGAAAGAGTTGGCGTGGTGGGGTGATAGCACCTGCAGGGGCCCTAGTTTGATCCCCCCACACTGCATGGTCCCCTGAAGCTGGGGTGTGCTCCTGGTGGCCCTCTGCGTCACATCACCAGGCCTTAGGCTGACAGGCCCACTGAAGACAGCTTGGGAGACCCCACCCAAAAGGGGGCAGGGCTGTGAGTGTCACCGGGGGCTCTGGCCTGAGAGAAGCAAGGGCTGAAGATCTCCCTGCTTCCTCCCTCTTGGGGCCACACCGAGCTATGCACAGCCCGTGCTTGGGGTCACCCAGTTCTGGGGTGCGGAACCAGGGCGCCTCCTGCATGCGTGGCCTGTGCTGCCCTCATGGTGTTCTGGCCCCTGGGGGGGGTTCATCCTCATGGGAGAACATTCCCCACTGCAGTTGGGCTGCAGCGTGAGGCCCCGGAAATGCCCCCAGGAGCGGCGGGGCAGGGGGTCACCTTGACGTCGCAGTGGAAGCTGGCGATCTCGCCCTCACGCATGCCGCACACGATGGTCTCCCACACAGGCAGCTTGAACTTCTTGCCGATGATGAGCTCCATGGGCTTGCCGCGGGCCCGGCTGTCGTCCAGCACGGTGGCGTCCTTGTCACTGTGCAGAGTCCGGTAGTGGAACGTGACCTGCGGGCCACACGCATGATGGGACAAGCGCACAAGCTCCTCTCCCCCTGCCCCCACCGGCCCAGCCCCCACCCGCAAAGGGCACCAGGGACAGTGAGGGACAGGGCTTCCTCCCTGACCTGACCCCTGGCCAGAGCCCTCCAGCCCGACTAAGCTCCCCCCTCCCTGGGTCTGGGGGACTGGGGGACGCCCAGCTCTCAGAGTCACCACTGCCTTAGCAAAATTTGGAACCGGGGTGGGGGTGGTCACACCCAGCAATGCTCAGGGGTTATTCCTGGCTCTGTGCTCAGGAATTACTGCTGGTGAGCTTGGGGGACCAGATGGGGTGCCGAGGATCGAACCCAGCTCTGCCATGTGCAGGAAAACGCCCTGCCCTCTGTACTATCCCTCTGGCCTCGAGCACCTTCTGTGCGTCTGCTCTCTGTGCCTGACCCCAGGACAGCCCCCCGCGACTTCAAGAAGGCGGGGGTCTCAGAGAGGTCACATGTGGGGGTGGGGGCAGGAAACACTCTTGGCAGCCGGAAAGCTGAGATCTGAGCAAGGCAATCTTGTAGCAGGGGATGGGCAGGGCACACCTGTCCACCGCTCCAGGACCCCAGCGAGGCATCTGGGGTCTGCGGGATGGATCCCAGCGCCCGGAGCACTTGATCTGGGACAGGGATGGGTGGTGGCTCGGGGGAACGTGATGTGACATGGTCTGGAGACTGCTGGGCTGGGAACAGATCGTGAGTGAAGACACAACAGGAAGGTGACTTAGGAAGTGGCCGCAATCACGGGGTGGGGGAGGGGAGGAGGGGAACCGAGCCCTGAGCAGTCAGGCCCAGGCAGTATAAGGGTGTTTTCTCACAAGCACTGAGGCTGGGGGTGCTTGGCACTAACACAGAGAAGTCCTGGGCACCTCCGGGAGGGGCTGAGCTGCCAACCGGAAGTCCAGGCCATGGAGAATGGGGAGCTGGAGGTCCTTTTTTTGGGGGGGGAGCAGGGGGTACCCCCACACCCAGGGATGCCCAGGGGTTACTCTAGGCTCTGCACTCAGCAATCACTCCTGGCGTTGCTCGGGGGGACCGTATGTGGTGCTGGGAACTGAACCTGGGTCAACCGCCTTCGAGGCAAACACCCTCCCCACTTGTACTGTGTCACTCCAGCCTGTGGGGGTCACGTTTAAGGAGAGGTTTAAACAGACAGGAGGATTAGGGCCTGGCGAGGTCTTTCACAGAGACGGAATCATCGGGGTGAGTTCAGAGAGCAGCCATCAGAAGAGCTGAAGGGGCATGCTCTGCACCCCCACATCACACTGCTCCTCAGAACTCAGCTTCCACTTCCACACAGTGAAACAGAGTCGACAGCAGCCTGAGGTCATGGGATAAAAGGAAACACGGCCTGACCTGTGTCGGGCGCCACTGCTCCCACACTTGACTTTCCGCGTTTTGGGGGGCTTTGGGGGGTAGTCACACCCAGAGGTACTCAGGACTACCCACTGTACTACGCCCAGGCTCTGACACTATGAAACTAGGGTGAGCGGGCAGGGCACAGACCTCAGTTTGATCTCTGGCACCCCATAGGGTTCCCCAAGGAGCCCCACCAGGACTGATTTCCCGCAAAGAACCAGGAGTGCCAGGAGTAAGACCCTGAGCATCACTGGGCGAGAGCCCCCCAAAGCCAAAATAAGTAAGTTCTCTCTTCCTGTCAGCTCATCCAGGGGCCCTTTTGTCCGGCCAGTCCTCAAGGTCACTCCCCCCAGTGCCTGGGCCCCCCTGGTCTCCCACCTAGGACCCCTCTGAGGTTTATTTATTTATTTATTTATTTATTGGCCACGCCTGGCGATGCTCAAGGATTACTCCTGGCTCTGCACTCAGGAATCACTCCTGGCGGGCGCAGGGGACCATATGAAGCGGTGGGGACCGAACTGGGCCCACCAGGTGCAAGGCAAACACCCCCCCCTCTGAGATCTTTTGAAGCGATCTCTACGCTACCACCCCCCACCATGCTTTCAGATGATCCACGCAGGACCAGCCGGGCTCTGAGCCGCCCAGTCTTGGCCCCAAGCTGGCCAGGGAACTGCTGCCTGCCCGGGCAACACCAACGAGGTTGGCCAGGAGCGGCCTGAGTTCATTCATTCACTTCACGGGCCTGATCCCTGGGACCCTGCAGGGCCAGGGGCTGTGCACGCAGGCAGCCGGGAAGGCAAAAGCCTGGAGAGAACCCAGGCTGCCCGGGGAGGGAGCAGACAGGCTACTGATGCGCAAAGCAGGAGGCCGGGCGTTCCTGACTCCCAGCCCTGATCTGTCCTCCTGAGGCCATCAGAAAGCTGCCAGAGTACCCGCCTCGCACACCTGACCACTGGGCCCGTCCCTTGGGTTTGTGGGTTGGGCCATCTCTGCGTTTGCGGGTTCGGGGCGAGACGCTAAGTGTTTTCAGAAGTCCTTCC